GGTTATTCTATTTGATATTCTTTATTATATACAGTATCATATTTTTGAAACGTAGGTTTCGTCCAGAAAAACTTGAAACTCATGGGGATGTTATTTTTGTTACTTATTAGGATATAGGAAATGGATTACCTCGAACTTGGAAGTATTATTTCCATTTCAGTTAAACTATTATTGTTGTTGTGCACTGAAGTTTTCAGTGCATTCAACTGACATACGTTGTTTTCTCAGGCCTCTTCTGTACACATTTATTATACATGACCTCGTCTAAACCTCCACTAACAACTTTTATACTTGCACGCTTCCCACCCTATACAGTTTTCGCCTTTGCCTCATTTCTCATAATAAATAATTCTCTCGCTCGCCTACCAGAATAAAGAAGCAGAATATAGTTACACTGCTTTTATTTTCCTGCCTATCATTAGCACGGTCTTAACCCGTTCATTGGTAACCTCGTTGAAATGACTATCGAACGCCATCGATATTTCTTTTAATATTTGAGTCGCTTCATTCCATAGGAAAGCCGTTGTTTTCTACGCTCGTCGTCCGGCCTGTACCAGCTAGGCTCGTCGTCCGTCATTATAGGACTTTCGCTTATTTTCAAATTTGTTTGTGATCATTGCAATATGTTGGGTAAATGCATATGTTCGGTGAACGTATGAAAGCGAACAATTGAGAATGGAGAATTTGTGTTGTGAAATGAGGAAGACTTAGCAAACCAATCTTTATTCGCACTAATGTTCAGTTAATAATAATAAAACTATAACTCAGTACTCACTGCAGTGAGTTAGAGAGAGCGCATTTGCTCGTCGACGAAAACCTGAGGTCACGGACGGACGGACAGACAGACGGACAAAGCGAGCACAATAGTGCATTTTTTCCATAAATGAGAAAATGCGCTAATAATAATAGCGGTTTCAGCGTTTAGTAGGCCGTAGGCCTGTCGCCGATTCTCAAGATCGTAGAACATTCACAGCATTTTGCGGTTTCGAACTCGCAACTCACTGCTACAATTCTGCTGTGCTTAACCGCCCGGCCTCCTTGCCGATTCTGACCAGAAACTGTCGCAGGTAGCTGGGATCGAACCTGCGCCAATCATGGTACTATGAACTGTAACCACTGGGCTGTTATTGAAATGGCAGTAACTGTTGTTAAATATTAATTAGTTTCGCATAGCGCAAATATAACAAGTAACGCAAACAATTATACAGCGGATTTAAAGTCAACAATGTTCGTGGCAGAGAACGTACATTACATAACGACAGCGGTTAGAACATTCAGATAGACGGGTACATTGACACTGATGCGGTGTTGATTGTTAAAGTCAGACCATCAAACGTCAGGTTGTCGTATAAAATGAGCTTTATTCATTTAGAAATAACGACTATTTTACTTCACCCCTCCCAAAATTCGTCGCTTAGTCCGAAAATAATTTTCTATTCAAACGAAATATAAACCTATTCAAGCGAATATTCATACACTACTCTGCTTATTAATAACCGTAGCAATCTGGAGGTCTTCGTATTTGTGTCGATTTTATGGGGACAGGTGAAGGAACCAGTTCAGTTTCCTTATCTGCTTGTTCCATTGTCTGCTGGGACACTGGTACGAGTTCCCCGTCATCCTGCAGTGGGGGTAGGTTGAAGGTAGGAGCCAGGAGGATCGAGGGTTTGATCCTGACGAAGTGAAGTCGGATCTCGTTGGAGAGGTGAAGTCGGCTCTAGTTGCTCACGGACCTTTGCGTTATCTACTAAGCCGCCGAGTGGAGAGTCCGAAGACAGGGCTCTCGGTCTTGTACCGACACGGTCTCTGGCATGAGAGTGTGTGAGGTAAACATTGTGGTTTTATGTTTTTCTAAAGCGTACTTTCGATTCGAAAGTTTGATGGCGAAATTGGCTGCTTCTACAAGGGATCGCAGCAAAGTAGAGAATGTTTGCTACTCGTATTTCAATATCTAACTCCAGGTGGCCATCCGTAGTCTCCACTCACGCTTCTTTATGATTAGTATAACTCGCGCCGACATTTTTCTTAAAGTTGTGTGAATAAAAACAAATGTGTCCCATTATCTAATAGCCTTAACTTGATATTTTACTCAGGGTTTGATATTTTACTTCAAATTTCTCCACTGCTGCGTGAGAGCTTCAGCATGACTTCGTTCTCTTGTTTACGATTGATTTTAACGAATAATTTTCCCGTAACTGCTGCGTAGAAGCAAGTAGTAGCTGCAACCGCTTCCATTTGGGTTCATAATAGCTGCGTTAGCCATCGTGAGGAGTACATTAGGCTGGGACTTTAACAATCCTGATGGCAATGTCATTCCTATGCCATCGCCACTTACAGACACAAGCCCCCTACCCAGGCTAAAGGTGCTTAGACACGGGGCTATTAGTTGTGTCTACTAGGCGACGCAAGTAAAATTTGTAATGCTTGACGTGTTCAGAGGCAACTAGCTGGTTCATTGCAGGCAGAGCACCTCGAGTTGTTTTGAAGCAGTCTATTCAGCGTTGCCAGATGGTATATTTCTATACCAGATTTCACAAATCTGGTATTTTCAGAAGGTGTCTGGTATGAACATATCAGATCTGGTATATTTGCCTAAATCTGGTATTTTTCTGGTATTTTCTGACTTACTGCAAATTTACTGCATTAAGTTCCACCTCTGAAGTTTGAATTTCCTCTAACGTAGGCGTGGATTATACAGATTACAATCAGAGTGGCGCGACTAGAGGTTTCCCGCCATTTTTGGAACCGCAAGTTTACCGCTTGATAAAATAACCCCAATTTAATTGTTACCATTTAACAGAAGTGCTTAGTGCAATATGAGCATGAGAGTGATGATCCTCGAATGATTACTGATCAGTGATGAACTGATGATATGGCCTAGGACGAGTGAGGATGTCGAACCGATCTCTGCGACGCAAGCTCCACCATTTTTGTTTGGTGGTTTTGAATTCTAGAGTGCCACTTATTGTAGTGCCACTTGAATTCTGGGGTGCCATTCAACATTTCACTGATCTTGACAATTATCATCCATTCAGGGAACTGGCTGCGGGCTGCCTACTGCATCACTTGTCTACTTTGACCTGTCTCCAAAGCATTCATGGTGCAAGTGTTTTCACAAGTCAACTATGTGAAAAACAAGCAACGGAATAAAATTTCAACTACGGTACTGGAGTCCCTTATTTGGACCAAAAGCTATCTGCTCAACCGCAACAAGTGATCACGCCCGAAATGTTAGATTAATGCAATATGCAAGCATGTACGAAAAAAAGCAAAATGATGATGACCTGTTTCCGTGGCTTGCTCATGTTGAGCGAAGAGGAAAAAGTGCCACAATGACACTGATAAAAAAAGGAAAAAGTGTCAATGTAATCAAACACAGGAAAAGAAAATTGTCGAAATGTTCCAAACAGAGGGGGAAAAAAATATAACGTGTTCAATTTGGCGAATTATCATCAAGCCAGATAACTGCACAGTACATGAGATAATTTTTTTTTCTAACCAGCGTTTCTGACGAATAGTTTTATTAAATTTTGAGGTATTAGTCTGTTTTTGAACGATAAAATTTCTGGTATATTTCTGGTATTTTGAGCAAGGCAATCTGGTATTCTCGCCAAGAAAAAACCTGGCAACACTGAGTCTATTGCGCTCAGTAGCGGCCCGGCCGTCATACCGAGCATAGCTGCGTCGCTCTCTCTCTCGCCCACTGTAGCGCGCACTGCTGTAGAATCCTCGCATGCCTCCATCGTGCACACCCTTACTCGACACCTCCCAACGTCGCACTGACGCGGGCGCAGTGTACCGAAAACACTATACTCGTGTATAGGCTCTCAGCCTGCAGAACTGTAGCAGAAGCAACTAATCGCCCCATGATTTAGCACCTTAAGAGTCGATCTTCTTGGCGCATCTTATTATATGCTCTTTTTTGGCATCAAAATTTCAATTCTTATAATTTGCTTAGATTTTGGTCAGAGAAAATTTAAGAGAATCATTCAGCTCCGATCAAAAGCAAGGACGTTTTACTCGTCTATTTTTTTTATTATACTCAAAACAGGTCATGAAAGGTAAATTTGCTGTTGTTTGCCTCGGTAATCAGTGACGTTTTCAAAATTTATCATGATACTAGATTGAAAAGTAAATTTATTGACGATAATTTTGTTTCAAATGATATAATTGAAACAATAAAATGTCATGGGTAACTTGTTGAATGCTCACGGAGGAATAATGCCCATATATGCAACACAATGGCTGGGACCATTAGAACGAATTTGAATGGAGCTACCGAAATAGTAAAGTCTGGTGTAGGAACACAATGTTGCCCTAATACAACGGACTAAAATAACAATCTGTAAACATCCTTATTTGATATTGTAGCGACCATGTATATATATTTCATTCAGTTACCCCCGTAACTCATTTCGAGGAACGTTGCTAGCCTGGTGAATTTTAACAGAGTTACCCATTAACTCTGACTCAACATTATTATCCATGTTGTTGCCTTCAGCATCATTATCAATTAGTAACTGCAGTTGATTTCCTGTTAGATATTATTTGGTTACATATTAATATTATTAGCACCGACCTAGGATATTACAACTTAAAGTAACTCCAGTTGTCATAATCATTTGCATATCTGTAATAACGTTCTTAATCTGGCCTCCGGACCTTGGCCCAGTAAATTAAGAGAATTACTTCTGTGTTTTATTCCCTAATCCGAAATAGAATTGTAAGACGCTAGCGCAGTCTGGTCTCAGACTTACACGCCTTAGCCGAACCACAGGGCGTTTGGTACAACCAAACGTTTGGCACGAGTCACAGACCTTAAGAGACTCAATACCGCGCCACTAGCATTCCCACGTCTTACAAAATAATCCGTCTAAACTATTCCCCATTAACCTTTTAGAAGTATTTCCTTTATACTCACCAGTCATTTAATATTCACTGCAATGATGTGTGGAGTTAAATCCGTGAAATAAATCAGCAAAGGAGCAGTTGTTTCTTCGCTAGGACACCGCATCCTCATCTGCCAGCGCCTGACTAAATCCAATTGATTGTATGAAGCAGCGCCACGGCGCCCGCGCTGCCCTCCCATCGGCTGCTCTGTTGGATGAAGCAGCGCCACGGCGCCCGCGCTGCCCTTCCATCGGCTGCTCTGTTGGATGAAGCAGCGCCACGGCGCCCGCGCTGCCCTCCCATTGGCTGCTCTGTTGGATGAAGCAGCGCCACGGCGCCCGTGCTGCCCTCCCATTGGCTGCTTTGTTGGATGAAGCAGCGCCACGGCGCCCACGCTGCCCTCCCATTGGCTGCTCTGCCTGCGACACGAAGGGTGGAGTTCCGGGGCGCAGTGATTCAGGAAGAACGTTTGTTGGATTAGGCAATTCTTCAAAAACCCAATTCACTTTATTTTACTTCCCTAAAAGTTTGAACTAAGTCATGTTTTATATAATGAAATTTCAGACCAACTTGTACATTTTTTACAAATATATCAAATTCATTATATAATCTGCATTCTTCAAAGAATTTCACATTTTGCTGAAGTTTTAGATAAAATAATACTATATACCGACAAAATATATGTTAACTATGCAAATAATGGGAAAATCGCCATAAATCCTCAACCCTGGGCTACAGGCAAGCTGCCTTGTTTACTGTACAAGCTGTACTGTGCTTCGACTTATTGACGCATTTGAGTGCGAGCAGTTTCATCTGTGGTGATGGAGTAATTTTAATACGGTTAAAAGTAAACCTGGAGAAATAATATATTTATATCATATATGAGTAATGATTATTGAAATTATCTGAGGTGTAATTCAAAATAAATATAATCTCCATGTTCAAAGTAAATGTAACTCTTTCGCCCATTCAAATATTCTTGATACCTTTCGTTTATACAGATTTTTCGCCATGTAGCCATATTATACATATAATAACTAACGTCCGCCTAAAGTCTACCTTATCAATTCAAAATCTATCCGTAGATATCGAAAATGGAACATGTGGTGGTGATACCGCCATTACTGAGCATGAACGACTTTTCCCTAATTCGAAGCATAACTAGGCTATTTACATAATTCGGTCAACCGTCGCCTAACCTTTTGTACAGTAAACAGATTGTACAGTAAACAGTCTTCGTTAACAATCTTGGTTGACTGTAAATCTATTGGCTGTAGCTTTTGACTGCAAATCTACTGGCTGTAACTCTATTAACTCCACGTGATGGATAAATTTCAATACTTTTACCAGATTACGCCGCAGTAACCTGGCAACGAGCGCGTGTATGCAGTCTTATTACAATGCGTTTTAACTCCATAAGATATCTGATGTAAACAGCAATGGATTTTACCTCAGCTTCAGAGCCGGATTACGGCAGGATCAGCGCCGGCCTTTGGACCTGCGAAGTGACCGCGCAATTGTCGGACTGGTCATATTGATGTCTTTCATCCGATGCAGCATCAACTTCATATACATATTTGAACTGCTACCAAGAGAAAATGTTACACCGTAATTATGGGCATAGGCACACCGCTGCTTATATTAACCTTCACAAATAGCGTCGACCTAAAGCCACTTATGCATTATTATTCGACAAATTGAATTAATAATGGATATTTGCATCCACCAAAATTTAAACCATTTATTTTAAGGCATTATATTCCTTTGTAGATCACAGTCAAATCATGGTAGCACCATCTAAAATGTTGAATAATTATGTTGCAAATAAAATAGTATATATATAAAATCGAATTTATCGATGAAAGTTTCAGGTTGTTGCGATTTATTCGATTGAATTTGTATTGAAGAATGTGAAACTTTTCACACAACTGTTTATTCCACATTTATGCATCGGTTGTGGAGAAATTCGTGCGCTAATATTTCAATAGGTAACTAACCCAAGAGGAACCCTCGCGTCACTAAAATTCTGCCAGGACAAATTTCCTGCGTGCCTTCCCGATAATTAATATGCATTATATTAAAAAGGATAAAGAATTTTAACTTTTCTGTTTTGTCACGTCATAAATTTGGCTAATAGAGCTATGTGTATGCTGAGAAACCGGAACCACGCAGGTTCGTTTGTTACATGGAACTTTAAAGGGTCTTGAATTTGAGGGGTAACTCAATGACGTTTTATAAAGATACGAATATTGTTTAAGTGTAAAATAAATTAGGATAATCATGGATAATCGTGTGCTGTATCTTCCATTATTCATCGTCAAAAGTTTGAGGAATCCATCGATTAGATCTAATGGGCGATTAGAGGAATAAGATTAAATTCAGTAATAATAAGTGTTGTGCAAAAACGATGTGCCAAGTCTACATAACAATATTAATATTTTTCCGTTCAAATCTTATTCATTTAATGTATTCAAAAATATTATTCATGAGATTTCGAGAGATCATGCTGATCCTTTATCCACTAAGTAACTTGGCCTTGACATGTCATCCATTATTTTCTACTATAGTTATCTTATTCTATAGTAAGACATTCTAATTTCTTTTTCTAAGCAGAAATAGACGGTAAATGAACTCAACATTTCTCTTCGCACGCTAACCGCTGGAGGTTGACTGGCACTAGAGGTCAGCCAACCAAGTGCCAGTTCCATGGAAAGTTTTAAGAGTGTTCCATCGGAATGAATAAATCGCAACTCTATTTTCACGACAATCATCAACTCGTCCATCCCTGCCGTGCCTGGACTGGTGGTGGGTAGTGCTGGGATGCCCACCAGCCCTCCTAGCCCACCCCTGCCGTGCCTGGACTGGTGGTGGGTAGTGCTGGGATGCCCACCAGCCCTCCTCGCCCATCCCTGCCGTGCCTGAACATTCCAAGTCCAACTCCTCGCCTCTGAATGAATAAATGTTATTCAATAAATAAATAGCTTCCAGTAAATATTTTTTTATTTCATTCGTCAAAAACGTCATTCGCTGCTGATAGTCGGGGGCAAACTGAACATATTCACTCCAAATTTTGTTGTGAATGAAGCAGTTACGTAAAAGTTAAATACCAACTAAATAATTTTCAGTTTGACATTGTGTATACATTTTGTGTCGTGAATAAAATTGATATCAAAATATAGGATATTCTTCTCTCTACCGGAAGCACAGACGTGGGCCACAAATGTAGCTCTTAAATAAATGTAGGTTAAACTAGCTTAAAAATTCTAATCTATTTTTCAAAAATTTCAATTCTCCAGGCTCATTTATGATTAAAAAGCGACGTTGTTTGCGTCACGCTAAAATATCTCCGTTCAACCCATTCAGAGAATAGATAGGGTAACATGGGGCAGCGAGCCCACTGCGGGTCATGGGCCCATAGCGGGTTTCTCGCTATGTATGGCAGATATTGGTCCGTGTTCTCTACCGCCGGTCGACAGTTTCACTGGGATGAAGTGTACGGATTTTCATTTTGCTAAGTGTTTGCGTTATTAAGTTATTTGTGGATAACTGTTTTAGCCCAGATAAAGGTTTTTTTTTTTTGCTGCCAAATAAAACTTATCGATTACTGTAGATGAAGCTTTTGAAATTACTGTGAATTATATTTTGAAAGTAATATCTATAGGGCTAATTTTGAGATCAAGTTTAGACTATTAGCTTTTAAAATAAAATGTTGACACGATATAATTCTATTTGATATTCTTTATTATATATCATATTTTTTTGAAACGTAGGTTTCGTCCAGAAAAACTTGAATTTCTTGGGGATGTTATTTTTGTTACTTATTAGGATATAGGAAATGGATTACCTCGAACTTGGAAGTATTGTTTCCATTTCAGTTAAACTATTATTGCTGTTGTGCACTGAAGTATTCGGTACATTAAACTGACATACGTTGTTTTCTCAGGTCTCTTCTGTACACATTTATTATACATGACCTCGTCTAAAACTCCACCAACAACTTATACACTCGCACGCTTCTCACCCGATACAGTTTTCGCCTTCCCCTCATTTCTCTTAATAAATAATTCTCTCGCTCGCCTACCAGCATAAACTAGCAGAATGTAGTTACACTGCTTTTATTTTCCTACCTTTAGCACGGTCTTAACCTGTTCATTGGTAACCTCGTTGATATGAATATCGAGCGCTATCGATATTTCCTTTAATATTTGAGTCGCTTCATTCGCCGTTGTAAATTGAGATAATCTTTACCTCACATGATTCTTGTGTGGATAATTTTTATTTTGTTATCTATAAAAAATTACAAAAGGAAATCTCCGTTATTTTAACTTTGTTTTGGCAAAATATTCTATTTATTATAATTTATTCAGACGCGATATATTTTTGTACAATTTTTCGTAACAAATATTCTTCTGTATCACGCTGTATCTGATAGTTTCGTTCATTACGTTTAATTTTATACCAATAACATTCATATTTCTCTGCGGTGTTGTAAATTAGTCTGTTCTCATTCTCAAATCGCGGAATTTTCTCAAAATTACAATTTTGGAGCCGGCAACGGCAGAAGAAAAAAATTAAGTAGTTTAAGAAAGGATTAGTAACGATTATGCATGCAGCATTTAACACTGTAATTTTCTTTATTAACCCATTTTTGCTTGAAGATAGACGTATAAATTAGATCTATTGAGGCTAGTACAAGCAATATAATAAGTTTTAAGATACACACCCACTCCTGAGCATGTCGAAAAAATTTCGAACGTTAGAGGAACCGAAAGTATTTAGGATATATTTTAAGTACAATCATTTCGTAAAAAAGTATTTCTGTCTTTCCAAGCGTGAATAGCTATTAAGGGAAAACTTTTATATAATTCACGATCATAAAATGACGGGTCTTCATTGGAGATTAATTTTCTTTTGTTTTTTGAAAAAAATTCATAAAGAATGACATTTGGTCTGTGAATCACAAATGCTGATATTTTATTTCTTTGTAATACCAGCAGTTGATATTATGTACAGAACGATGGGCTCATGGCTGGTGGTTGGCAGAGGCACGATAACGAAGCGTTACCATACATGGTGACGTCTAAGAGTTACCATACATGGCGACGTCTAAGAGTTACCATACATGGTAATGTCTAAGAGTTATCATACATGGTGACGTCTAAGAGTTACCATACATGATGACGTCTAAGAGTTACCATACATCAGTGGTTCCCAAAGTGGGCGATATCGCCCCCCTAGGGGCGATGAAAAGATTTTGGGGGGCGGTAGGGAAGAAGAGGGCGGTTGGGGGGCGATAGGGGGGCGACAATCCGAAGTCAAAGTCAGAAGTTAAAAAGTTTGTTTGACGATTTGTACACAACACGTGCAGCACATGACTCCCAGCGATGGTTTTGTCACACAGATCTGTTTTAGCCTCTCC